TGGTTTATTTGATTAATATTGTTTTGATTCTCATGGGTATTCTCGGTTGAAATTTGATCTTTACATTATGGTAACTTGGCGTTTTTTTGGCGAAAATTTGGCGACCAACTCTCCTACAGCAACCCTCTATTTTTTTTTTTTTTTTTCCCCGCCGCCATTTTGTCTTCACGAAGTAAAGACATGTTTTCTTTTCTTTTTATCTACTGAACACTTCTTCCAACAATCTACTAGCCGAATTACACTTATGCTAGAAATTTTATCTAACAAAACTGCTTAATCATGACAAATATTCACTGCAAAATTGGGAAAAAGTGCACAATACCATACTCCTTACGCGTTTTTCAAAATAACACATACACATAAACCATGTACACGCCGACTTATTTTTACTTAAAAAAACATCCCAGAATTGCACAAAAATGGCATTGCGCACACTCTTCACTATATCCATGTACACTGCTTTTTTCTCATAAATTAGAAAAATTTCACGAAAATACATGACAATTTTCTCAATCTTTAAACCCGGTAAAAAGAACATATATGAAATTACCTGATCGCGAAAAAGTATTTACCCTTTCCAAATATGAACATTTCCACATATAAAATAAATAAAATATCCAAAAACTTTTACCTCTAAATCATCTATTATACATTATACACGTCACCAACGAATTCATACCGCAAGCATTACAAATACTTAGTATCAAATATTTAAATTATTTCCATGCACGTTTACTTCAACTTAAACGTATACCAAATTCCTACAAACATAAAATTCACAAAATAACTATCATTTAATTAAAATATAATTAAATTCAAAAACACTACTTAAAATATAAATGAGCACATACATTAAATTAATAAAAATTACCTTACAATCCTAATTACTTTTAAATCATTGCTAATAACAATTTTCCCAATAATACCAAATTCCTTTACTTCCACCTTACATTTAGAACAATGCATAAAAATAATATCCTCAAATAATTAAAAATACTAACTTACCTAATCTTCTTCAGAATCTTGATTACGTGGTCCGATAAACTTTTCTTCTTTCTGTTTTCAGGATCTTTAAAATCATACTTATATTTCACAGCAAGGTACCAGGTAAAATAAATAACTTAATAAAACATCTTTACTTCTATCTCGCACAACCTTAAAGAAACACTTATTACTACCCTTTTCAATCCCACTAAATACCCATTTCGAATTCACTTTAGTTAGGGCCATGGGATCCAAAAATTAACGAACACTGTTTCACACAACACAGAATAAAGCCAAATACAAAATTTCCAGATTTTTTCCCGATTTCCCCCCTTTTTCCGATTAAAGAACCGTAATTCGTCCATTAATATCACATGACATATCCCATGATCTCTCATTTCCCTCACACAAAATAATGCGTAATCGGAACTGAGTACTGCTCACATTATTACCAAAGTCCCAGGTAGTAACCTTTATCGCCTCCAAAATGTCGCCAAACTACCAGTTACCATATTGTAAAGATCAACCCAGAAATCTATTATCTTTACTTAAACTTGTTGTTCAGTTCGGTCGACTACTAGCAAATCATCTTAGAAATGTCTCATACTTATCACCATAAATTCAAAATGAATTTATTCATCTTCTGACATCCACAGTTCGAAATCAACTAATAAGTGACATCAAAAGAAATAAATATTATGAACTTGATTCGATTCCTGATATTACTCATCAAAATAAATGTCACAAGTCTATATATCCTGATACTGCTCATTGAGTCAAATGTCACAAGTGTGGATATTGGTTTCACCAACAGAAACATTTCTGTCAAGGAATCATTCTTAAGATTTATTGAAATACATGCTAAAGATGCAGCGTCAATTAAAAATATAATTTTAGAAAAAAAAATTCTGGTTGGATTCTATTAATAAACGGTAGATTACAATGCTATGTTAATGCTGCCATGACATTGCATCACATATCTGGCATTGAACAAAGAATTACGGAAAAAATAAAACAGTATTATTTGTAAACTATGATAACCACTCATTAAATTTTGTGGGCGTTACTACAGTTAAGCAAGATCCAATCTTTGTAATATGTTTTGGAATAATTGAAATCCTATATCACTTTTTCTCCCATTCAATATTACAATAGATATTAATTAGAAAATGCTTTAAAGAAAACTGTTAAACATGAATCTGAAACACAATGGAGCACCAGAGCCGAAGCGGTTAGTGTTATTGCTGATGGACTGGGAGAATAAGTAGAACTGTTTGAAATATTAGCAGAGGACAGTTCTACCACAAGGGACACCAGAAGCCAAGCAACAATTTTACTGCAAAATAAAACAAATTTTAATTTCATAATTTTAGTCTATTTTTGGCATGAAATCTTGAGAATTGATCATGTGCAGCTCAGATTGCAAGATGAATTTTAAGAATGAAATTGGATTTTAGAGAAGTTTTCCGTGATCTTGAATCATTAGTGACGGAGTGTGTAGAAATTCGAGACGAGTTCTGTGAAGAGAAATAGGAAAGGCTAAGTTTCCTTATGAAAAATGGTATATCAATAGAAATTTCCATGTTAGAAGACACAAAAAAATCTCCGGAGAATTGGCTAGAGATGTTGGCCTTTTCACAGAATGTGAAATTTCTCGCATTAGGGAAAGTATTCTTAATCCTGCAACAGGAAATACATACACATTTTATACAGCTAAATGATCTTAATTCCAAATTTGGATTTTTACTGGATGCTGAAAATATATGAAACTAGGTTCATGTTGAAAATGATCTTGAAAAGAATTGTAAAATTTTGCATGAATTTTATAATACTGATTTGGTACTTTTTCGTTTTGCCAGCGCAAACAATAAAGTTGCCAACAATGGTACAGCTGATGGCAAATAGAATATCTTCGCTGATAACCTTTTACGCCTCATTTTCAAAACAAGTCGCAGGCATTTTTTAGTCACATTGATTGTTTCTTTCAATACTGGCATATAATTACATAGAATTTTTACCAAGATATAATTAAATTTTATGCCCTTAAGACCATTCATGGTAATTAAGTCAAATTAGGAATACAATCACACTGCTCACCCGAAGGACAAAAATATAGAAAAGGCAATGTCAAGGGCTTAAATTCATCCAATTCTAATGAGAATACACCTAGCAATAGTAAAGCACTACGGTTTTACATAATTTCTGAGTAAGCTATTCATACAAATTGAAACAATTCTTGCATTTAAACTTGTATTCAATTAAATTTCACTTGAATTAAATGTAATATAATGACTGATAATATTTTTTGTAGCGTAGTTTATGTGAGATGATATCCTTGGGTCACGTGATATAAACGGCAAATCAGCATGTTAACCTGAAAGCATATAAATTCTTAAACTATGTCGTTTTACAATTTATTGTCTTTATTTATTGGATTTTTACAAATTTTTAAACGATATTAAAATGCTTATGCCTTCAAATAAAAAATTCTTAGAACAACATTTGTTAACATTTTTTTATGTGTTACTGTGTGTGTCGCCATAAAGTCTGCTTGGCGAGATTTTCCGCTGGCGAACCAAAAAGTACACAAATTATAAATTCCTAAATTTTAATCAATTTCATTAGCTTTTTTTACGATTATGACTAATCGTTTTTCATTATTCCAGGAAATTTGATCGTGATATGTTTGGCAAGGGCTTTTGTGTTGTGTGTTGCTTAAAGTACATGCTTGTTCATTGTTTAGACATTACATGCTGAATGCTAGTCGATTTATTTGAAGTTTTCTGTACAATTTGTAATGAAAGGGAAATAGTACATTAATTGATTGGTATTTAAATGAAGGTTTACTTAGTAGCCATTTTCCGAACAGTCCGGAACTACGTTTTTGACTCTTATTTTTGTGAATTTATGTGGCGATGCCGATATACGGATTATAGTTCAGATAAGTTTAGGAAGTTCTTGGATGCTGTTAAGAAATTTTGTGCCACAGAATGAAGACGAACAAATTTCGAAATAAGGTAAGTGGATATTTGCTTTGTGTAGTGCTAAAATACATAGCAGGTTTTTCCTTTTTTTATCTTATTTTATTGTTTGTAGAAGCGTAGTTAGGTAGTGACTATTTGTAATCTATGATAATGTATTTTAAGGTAGGTACTGCATTCTATTACTATTTGCATTACATTCTTATTACACGTTTATTATACATATTACATTAATACCTGTTTTCCAGGGGGTGGGGGGACACCAAAAAGGAATTGTGCCCCAGGTGCCAGTTATGATCTCAACACCACCGCAAGCATGCAACGATTTTCTGTCTTAAGAGAGATGAGGATTTTCTATACACATTAAGGAATAAAATACAAAACATCCATTTATCAGAAACTGAACTTCAGGCAACTTCCCCAGGAAGTTAGTTCACTTAGCCCAATGGTGGGAAGATATTTCAGCTACATAAAAGTAATACTAATTATTCTTAATAAATTTAATCTCAAAATTACAAATCTGAATATCACTACTGTCGAAATTATCACTGATAAAGTGATAAGAAATCACTAGGAACATTAATGATTTTTCTTACAATAAACATGTTACAATAATTCAGATAAATTAAAACTGCACGCTAATAATACCCAAAATTCAATCAGTTTTGTATCAAATGTTTCACATTATTAAATTCTACGGCAATTTTTAAAGGAAATGTATTTAATTTACATAAAAGTAAGCACAACATAGTAGGACACTCTCATATTTTGCTGCGGAAAACGCAGTCATAACATTTCTTACTCAAACAAAATTACTCTATATTCCCACTGTTTACTAAGCAGTTTTTATCCTCTATATACATTATAATTTTGAATATTTTTTAATAGAAAAGCAAAGATATAGACATAAGTATAATACCTAAACACTGACTTTTATCAAAAATTGTTACATGCTCTTTATTCTATTATAAATTACATTTTGACAAAATCATCTTAATATAATCAATAATGACAATGAAAATGCATTATACTTACCAATCCGTCCAAGATTGGGTTCATATTAATCACATTTCGTCCATTAAATGCCACAACACAACAGTAGACAGATATCTTGCTTTCCACAAAGTCTTTCTGCCCAGAGGGCGAAATATCAAGCTTTCGTGTGTTTGCATAGATTTTTATTTTTAACGAAGAGAAGATTTTGGTGTATCACCAGGGTTTACAAATGGTACGGGAAAATCTCAAGAGATTAGAATAGAAGGAGGGAATCACTCAAACGGTTAAAAAGCTTGTGCTACCATGGTTCCTGTTAATCCGCTTTACTAGGTGGGCAAGGACGGAGTCTAAATTGTAATATGGGTTGGTTAGTAGTTATTTTTGAGCATGTCCCCCTGTGTTGCACACTGAAGTTGCAAAAGTCGTGGGAATGCATATGCCAATATCAAAATGCGAAGTATCGCGTAGAAAATGCATAATCGAAGTGCTGTGGCAAGACTTTCATTTGTGTTCATTTATCATGTGAAGAGCTTTTGCGTGATTATGCCCACGACGAGAATTACAGACTTTGACGCGGAATGGTTATTGGCTAGACGCATGGCTCCTTTCGGATATCGTTAGGGATTCAACATTCCGAGATCCGCGTTCAAGAGTGTGCCGAGTATCTAATTCAGCATAACATCCCACCATGGACACGCAGTGGTCGACCACCTCACTAACGACGAGACCAGCGACGTATCGTAGAGTTGTCAATGTTCAAACAAGCACACTGCGTCAATACGCATAAATCAATGTGGACGACTAGGACGTGTCCGATAGACAGTGCGGCGAAATTTGTCTTCCTTGGGCTATGTCAGCAGAAGACCGCAAGGAGGTTAGCTCTACTCGACAGAGAGAGAGTCTGGTGTCATCATCTGGACAACACCGACTTGATCTGGTTCATTACAGAGATCGACGCGTCGGAAATTTTTCCGACAGCTGGATAGCTGCGTTTAAATTTCTAACTGTCGTTTTAGAGCTAAACTGAGGACCGCGGACGTCACGGATAGTTTTTGGAAGCGCACGTAATAGATATTTTAAGATTATATATCTTAAGATCTTAATATTTGTAGATTAATATATATATATCTTAAGATTTGTGAAAAACTCAAGTTTTTCGCGATAGAAATAACGCATTTGATGCTGACGATTGTACATTACTTATTTGTTCTACATTAGCAATTCCTTAATTGAATTTTAGTGAAAATAATATATTTGGTGTTTTCCTATTTCACATATAAAGAAGGGTCATACTTATTTAAAATTGTAATTTAAATAATGTACATCAATTACTATTTCATTTTTGAGGAGTAATGTAGAAGTTTTATGTTTAATATAATGTATTCCTCTACTTTATTTATTGTATGTATAAAAAGTAATCACAGTGCATAAAGATATGCAGTTAATTCAATTATTCACATCTAATTCAACATTTACATTAAATTGCTTGGAGTTAAAAAATTTATTTAAGTAGTTTTAACTGTACCGATATGAATGTCAATTTCCAGTAGTTTTTAGGATCTCCTGTATAAAACAAGTTAAATTCCTGTATAATTTTCCGTTAAATTTAATTCTTGTAAATATCATAATGCATTATTTATATTTAGTTATCATATTTTTTTATATGGTCTGCTTTTAGATATCACATCAGTTTTGTGTATTTTTATACAGATCTAAAAAGAGCTTGGTTTTTTGGTTTTATGTAATTACGGCAAAAAAGAAAAGAAGCCTAAAGTGAGGGCTGCCTTCGTGGAGGACATTCTAAGGGAACTAGCTCGTATACACGTAACACATGGAGAAAACCACGAAAACGCCTATGCAGGCACCCCTTTAACGGGATTCCAACCTTGGACCGAACTTCTAGTGTTCAGCGATTTTACCTCTCAGCCGCTGGTGCTATTGATTTAAAAAGGGTATAAATAAAAATATGTACTGTAATTTCTTTCACTGCATCTGTTAATATATTTATAATACAGTTATATATATATTTATTTATTTGAAACAGATTTTGTGTGCCTTAAACTAATATGCTTCTGGAAGTTACCAATGATATGTTAGTAATGACAGATACATTGGTAATGACGCCCATGCAGCAAGCCCGATCGCAGGATTCGAACCTCGGAACGCACTACTAGTGTCCAGAGATTTTATCACTCGGCCACTAGTGGGATCGATTTAAAACAGCATAAATAGGAATATGTACTTCAGTTTCCTTTCACTGCATATGTCAGTATATTTATAATACATTTATATATAGTTATTTATTTATCTAAAACAGATTTTGTATTGGCTGAAATGGGACAGGTGTACAGTCGGTCACAAAAGTATTCGAACACCGGTACCCTATCAGAAAATGACAAGATGGCGTTTTTTTTTCTCTTTCTCTCTGTGTGTCGTGTTATTCCATCCTAGGTTTTCTTCTCCCCCCCCCATCTTGGAAAAAACTGGAAAAAATTGGTTACGATCTCTTTTTGAATGGGGAGATGCCATTTTGAGAAAAAGCTGATGACCCTATCTTGGAGAATGAACATGACCGCTCTACACACCCTTTTACTCTCTCTCTCTCTCTTTGAATTGGGAAGCCATTTTGGGAAAATGCAGACGACCCTATCTTGGAGAATGGAAATGAACGCCTCTCCCTCTCTCTTTGAAATGGAAAGCCATTTTGGGACCCTCTATTCTTGGGAAGGGAGAAAAACTGAAGTCTGCACTTCGCTGTCTCTGAATGCGGAAAACCCTTTTGGGAAAAGCGGACCCTCTTCTTCTGATCTTGGAGAACTGGAAATGAACGCTCTACACGATCTCTCTTTGAATTCAGAAGGTATTTTGGGACCTTCTAATGTTGGAAAACTGAAATGGACGCTCTACGCTTTTTTCTCTCTCTCTCTCTTTGAGATGAGTAGCCATTTTGGAGGATTCTCCACCACCATCCTAACCTTGGAAAACTGAAATGAACGCTCTACACCTTCTCTCTCTCTCTCTCTTTCTCTGAAATGGGTAGCCATTTGAAAACTCCCTAACTTTGGAAAAAAAACAGAAATGAACGCTCTACACCATCTCTCTTTGAAAATGGGGGGGGTGTCATTTTGAGACCTCCCTCCCCTAAACTTCAAAAAAAAAACTGAAATGAACGCTCTACACTTTCTCTCTTTGGACATGGGTAGCCCTTTGGGGACCCTCTCCTCTTGGTAGAAAAAAAAAAGAACTGAAGTGAAGGCTCTACACAATCTCTCTTGGAATGGGATCCATATTTCGGGAAACGTGGATCACCTCATGCTGGAAAACTGAAGTGAACCACCAAGATTGGACTCTATATAATATTTTTTTTTAATTGACATCATGACCCTCCTCCAATTTGTTATTAAAAAATTGTTTTTTTTGTTTTGGTTTTTTATCCCATTTCCGATGTGATTTCAGAAATGCAATTCCATAACAGTTCAATTTTATTCGAGGTTAAATGATCTAAACAGTCTTTGACCCACCCATCCGTATGATTATTTTCTTCTCCTTCCTGTTTGCACCAAATTTTGTAAGTCCATATAATCATTCCATACGGGAAGGGCTGGATCCTCACAAGGCTGTCTTGAAGACACTTGGAGTCTCTTTGGGATGAGTGGAGGGATCTAGGATGTCTGGACCCGGCTGCGATTCTACCTCCATGATTTCTGGACCCGTTGGAACTTGTTTACCCGGCTGAAATTCTACCTCCATGATTTCTGGACCCGTTGGAACTTGTGGACCCGGCTGTGATTCTGCCTCCATGATGTCTGGACCCGTTGGAACTTGTGGACCCGTTGACATTCTACCTCTACGATGTCGGGACTTTTTGAAGCTTGTGGACCCGTCTGACATTCTACCTCTACGAATGTCGGGACAGGTTGAGGAAGAGCAGAAAGAAGAAGAAGAGGATACTGGAAGAGGTTTCTGTCTGTGAGGAGTCCGAAAGAGGTTGCCTGTTTGAACAAGTCGGGGAAGAAGAAGAAGAAGCTTCTGGTTCTGAAGCGGATCTTGCACGCCAGGTAGGTTCCGGTAAGTCGACCGTTTTTTAAGAGGTAATTTTTTTTTCTTCCTCCTCATCTTCAATTGTGATGACTTCAATTTCATTCCGTTGCCGGGTCGATTTTGTTTCGGGCCATGACGGTTTGGTCCAGCTCCTCTTATCATCTAAGGAAGGGATGGGTAAAGGTGGCGGAGGGTTTTCTTCTTTTTCTTGAAACATCATCGGCGATTGGAAAGAAATCTCCTCTTTCAATTGTTTCCAAAGCGAGTACGAGCACCGATCGACGAGAAAGAGACTCTTCTGGGTTGTGACGATGAGATATTGCGTTTTTTTCGGGGGAACGACATAGTTTTGAAAAGGTCTTAGAATATATTTCTTATATTTCATCCTGTCGCTGACTTTAAAACTTCTTTCCTTCAGATTGGGGGACGATGATTCGTAATAGGCGAGAGGAGCGGCTGTGGTTTGAACAATATGAACTTCGTCCTCAGCCGTCGTTCTCACTCCAAACGTAAAATATCGTTTCGTGAGAAAAATATTCTTCCACCGAAAACTCGTGCGCGGATCGTATATCGCCGGTCTTGTTTGAATGGGCCGTCTCAAAGCTCGATCCATCCGGATTCCAAGAGAAGGGAGATTCCTCTTTCGTTTGTTGCGATTCGAATAAATTTCTGTATATATTCTGAACGAGCAGGTTGGAGGGATTCGACATCTTGGTTGAAAGAAACGATCGCTTGATGAGCTGGTAAATGCGGAATAAATGTCGCACAATGACACGCCAAAAAGATTTTCAGGTTGGCGATTTGCTTTAGCGTCTTCAAATCCTCCCCGTTCAAAATCCGTTGAGTCGGAAAAACATCTAACAGCGACATGGCTCCCAATGGAAAAGAAATGATCTCGCCCAGTACTCTCGCCTTTTTATATATACGCACACATCTCGCCTTTTTATATATACGCACACAGACACATAGAGGCTCTATGACGTCCGTTTTATTTATTTATTATTTTTTTTGGTTTCTCTCTCTCCTTACCAAGAAATCTTATCTCCATGACCTCTTTTTCTTTTCCAAAGATGAGAGTGTGGGAATGAGGAAGTGAAAGTAGTAATTTAATAAACAAA